ACTTGAGACACCCCTGCCTTATAGCTAAGCAGAAGGAAATAAAAATGGCTTGCCTCCCTCTATTTTCCCCTTCCCTCTGCCACCTCACCAGCCACAGCCGGGACACTCACCTGGAGCTTCCTTCTAGATACCGTTGTATTTCTTCCCACAATGGACCTTACTCCTAGTAGCGATATAATGCTATTCAGTTGCTGATATATATATATTTTTTTTTAAAAAGGTCCTCTGGGAGCAGGGGAAGAAATGGCTGTTGGGCAGCCAACCCTGGAGGAAGTTCAGAAGCCCATCAAGATGCAAAGCACCAACATGGTTCATTTTCAGATCCCCCTCCCCATTCATCACACGACAATCAGCTTTTGAAAATTAAAGAAATCTCAAAAGCAGCTTCTGGAGTGGTATTGACAGGGGTGACAATCTACTGTCACTAAATACACAGTTGGTTGGGGTTTGCGCCAGCCCTTCCCCACACCTGAAGATGTTTGAATCTGAGTCTCGATTGGAATTCATTTCGTAATATTCATTATATACCTTCTTCTTGGGCTCAAGACAGGTAATGCAGATTTACCAAACCAATGCATTGCTTTTTATCTCTGAAGGATTCACAATAACTATAGTACAAAATGACAGCTGAAGCGAGCTCTAGCTCTGGAATCAAGATCTAGATGGGAAGGAAGCCCAGTGAAGTGCATTTTGTTCTTTCATCTTATCTAAACATAAGTTTAAACAAGTGAAGACGAAGGGCAGTGGAGTGAGTTCAGGGCCCATCTAGATGTAGAGCAAGAAAGAATCACTTCTAACGGTCATATCCTCGAGAGGAAGAGATACGGCGATGATCATGTTTGTTCAGTTTGATAGCATGCGTCTTCTAGACTCACATGATTCAGCTCCGCGTGGCTCAGGACTCGGGAGATTTTAGAAAACTGTCAGAACTGGAGAATGGGTAAGGTTTATTTACTTCTGTAGACCTACCGGAATACCACTGGAGGACAGGACCAATGTTCCCTCTAAGCTGTGGGGTCTTGTGAGCAAAAATTCTACTTTGTGAGCTACTGGCATTAAAGTTGTGAGCCAGCGATTTGGCTCCTGCATAAATTAGTTGGCTCTGGAGCCATTCTTCCTGAGCTAAGACAAAAATTTGTGAGCCAGAGGCTAAAAACCTGTGAGCTAGCTCACGCTAACTCAGCTTAGAGGGAACACTTTATTTACTCCTGTAGACAGGACACATTTGCATTTTCCAGTTATTTTTATCCATCTCCAGGTTGTAAAAGCATAACTAAAAAAAGTAGAGAAAAAATAAAAAAAATAAAGTAATAGCCACAACTGCTCGCAGGTGAACTGCAGTTATGCATTGATCCTGGCTCCCCAGTCCTATGTACATATCTGCATTTTCCTATGTGTGGTCAAGAGCAGATTAGATGACTCCTGTAAGACATAGAAAATGCATGCTCAGTGACTGAGGGAAGGAGACAGTGCTCCTGGGGGTCCATCTACACATTACAAAGCCTTTTTGTGTGCTTGGGACCCACATGAGGATTTTGCACCTCATATGCACTGATCCAGATGGGAACACCAAACAATAGCTGGGTTACAGATTTACCCTTCCATACATGAATGGCTTCAGGGACATGCTAATTATTTATCAGGGCTCTTTTTGTAGCAGGAACTCCTTTGCATATTAGGCGACACGCCCCTAATGTCGCCAATCCTACAAAAGCTTGCAGAGCTCTTCTTACAAGGTCTACTGTAAGCTCTTGGAGGATTGGCTACATTAGGGGGTGGGTCGCCTAATATGCAATGGAGTTCCTGCCACAAAAAGAGCCCTGCTTATCATATTTATGAATCTCCCAGTCCCTGCCACAGCAGGGCTCTTGGCGATGTACAATAGCCATAGAACAAACAAGACAAAGTCAGAACATTAATAAAACATTTCAACCATCAGATGGTGAATAATTATCCAATCCCAGTTTCAACTGCCAGCTACTTTGCACATGGTAGGGAGGGCGAGGTAGATGTAAATAGCAGAGAACAGAGAAGGGTGCCAGCCGAGATGGAACTCTCACTGTCCTCAACTAAAAGCCTGGTGGAACATCTCTGCCTTACACGCTCTGTGGAAATACATCAGACATGGCAGAGAGTTCCACCAGGTTGGGGCCAGGACCAGAAAGGCCCTGCCCTGGTTGAGGACAGCCGGATGTCTTTAGGGTCGGGGACCACCAGCAGATCGCTGTCTAAGGAGCACAATGCTCCCCTGGGGACATAACGGAGGAGACTAGCACCATGGATGTTAAAAGGGGGTAACATGGCAGTGCTGGGACATTTGGTTAGTATAGCAGAGTCTGTCCAGTTATAGAAGAATGACAATGAATACAGGGGGGTGGGGGGTAGCCGTAGAAGTATATTGCAAAAATGGTACATTTGCTTTTCTTTAAGTAGATCCAGTTCACATTCAGGTTGCAGTCAAAGGAAGAGAGAGAAGCCTAACCTAAAGAGTGCTTTCCCTATCACAAATGGCCAGCTTTTCTGGCATCATGTGTCTAATAGGACGAGGGGCCAGGCATTGTATCTACAGGGGAGACCTGCAAAGACAGGGATCTCCATGGAAGGCCATGAGGAGAGAGGGAGAGGACAAAGCAAGCGAGATAAGAGGGGTCAGAGGCCAACTCCCGGGTTAAGACAGAGATCCCATTCAAGGAGATAACACCTATACACCCTTAGAGTAATGTAGCCCCCCCCCCCAATATCCAGGCCTCCTGAGTTGCTCTCTCCAACAAACAGATATGCTGTAACGGGCCAAGTTAAGTGCATATTTTCATTGGATTGACCAGCCTTTATTATATCAACAGTTTACCCCACAATATCTGAATGGATTTATTTGTTCCTCAGAGTACTCCCTTGAGCAGAAATTGGCTCCACCATAAAGCTCCCATTTCTTACATGGCTACAGTGGACCCAGTCTGAGCTCCACTGGGAAGTTTGGAGTCTAAAGCCGATTTGCCCCGTCTGTTGTGGTTACAAACAGAAAAAAGTTGGCATGAACCTGGAAGGCACAAAATTCCCATCACACATTTCATACCTGTCCCTCAACAAACATGAGGAGCATGTAGATGGAGCCTCACATGAACTTGGTCCACCATTTCTGAGAGGTCCACCATTTTGGAGAGGCATTCTAATGAAATAGGGGAAATACTGATGGTGACACAGAGATGTCAAAGATCCCTTCGACTCCCGGAAGGTTTATTTTACCATATGTGGTGGACATGCGAAAAAGCTGTGGACTTCTGGACCAGGGTCCACAGCCAAATGCAAAAGATTCTGAAATGTTCCTTTAAGAAAGCACCAGAAATTCTGCTCTTAGGACTTAAAATGGAAGAACTGAATATTACAAAAAGGACTCTATTTTGGTATCTGATTACAACGGCGAGACTACTCTATGCACAATGTTGGAAACAAGAAAGAATTCCAGAGTTAGAAGAATGGATACAAAAAACTTTGTTTATGGCGGAGATGGAAAAAAATTACAAAAAAAATTGAATAACAAAGAAGATCAGGAATTCTATGAAGAGTGGAGAGACTTTAAGGTTTACCTAGAAAAGAACTGGGATGTGAAACATAACTTACTATATTTGGAACAATATTGAAATAAGAATAGGATGTTATCTTAAGCTGTGCTGGAGGGACGAGGGGGGAAGCATTGCGGGAAGCCAGCGGGAGGGAGATATTGGTATGGGGTTAAAACTGAAATATTAACTTGAACTGATGATAGGTCAATATTTTCATGAAAATAAAACTGTGTTAAAAAAAAGGGGAAAAAAGATCCCTTCGACTCCCAAAAGCTTATGCTCTGAGAATCTTGTGGGTCTCTAAGATGCTACTGGACTTTAATTTAGTGGTTCTGAAAGGGTCAAGCACATCTACCCTCTTAAACTAAAATGATAGAGAGAGAAAATGAGGAAACTGGAATGGAATCAGAGAAAGGGAGAGGGAGAGAGAGAGAAAGAGAGAGAGAGAGAGAGGGAGAGGGAGAGGGAGAGAGAGAGAGGGGGGGGACCCTTTTAGGGAGATCATCTGAATAATGGGATTTGTTAGAGACTATCAATACCAAGGCATATGTGTAGTTTCAGAGGGTAGCCATTTTGGCCTGCAGTTGAACAGATAGATTTGAGTTGAGTACCAGTCCAGAGACCCCATGAGATTTTTGGAGGAAATCTTGTGGTTCTCTAAGGGGCTGGCCTCAAATCCAGGCATGTATGTTTCCTTTATTTAAAACATCTTATCCAACCAATCCTGATAAATAATTTTTTCAAAGGTAACTCTGGATCATTTTTGGTACATTTATTTTATCTTATCTTTTTATTCTCCACATTTCTCCCCAGTGGGGACCCAAAGTGGCTTACCTCATTCTCTCTCTCGATGTTATACTCCAGACAGCCCTGTGAGGTATGTTAGGGCTCAAGAATATCACCTGCCAAAGGTCAGAAAATGAATTACCATGGGATGGGTGGGGATTTGAACCTGGGGCTCCACGATACTGGTCCCACTCTTTTAACCATTACACCAAATGAAGATAAGAAGCTGTCATGTGCTAAGTGAAACTTAGCTGTCTGTGAGGCAGTCCATTATTGTTTCTTCTATCTGACAAGGACTCTCCACGATTCCCAGAGATGCTCTGAAGTGAAGGTGACTCTGGAATGGAGTAAGTTTATTCTCTGGCATCTCCACTGAAATGAATCTCCTTCACCCTTGCAGATCCCCGGGGAATCAGATTGCTGGCAGTGTGCTAAAAGCATTTCCTGCCCCCAGAGAATGAACTAGTAGGAGGTGAGATTGACACATACCTGTGAAGGATCAGATTCTTCAGATACGGTGACTGGAAGATGGTTTCAGAAGGTAGCCATCTTGGTCTGCAGTAGAACAGCTGGATCTGAGTCCAGCACCACCTTAGAAATCAAAACGTGCTTTCAAGAGTCCAAATTCTTCATAAGACCCTATGGATTTCCACTCCATGCAGCTGAATGTCAATGAAGACAGTTTTGGAGGTTAGCCTTGTTGAGTGGAAGATGTCAACTGTCCATGGTCCTGGGCTGGAACGGCAGAGGACTTGCAGATGGACTTTCCCAGTTCCAGCTGAGGAGGGGAAGTGTCTGCTGCTCTCCAAGCTCAGTTCTTTAGTATATGTGCTGCCGAAGCGAGCACTCCAAGCTCAGTTCTAATTGTATAAGACATCCTACAGTTAGCTTGATAATATCATGTGAGAAAACATTCTTATCTCAGACATCAAGACAGCCTTCAGTGGAAGATGAAGGAGACTCTGGCAAGGGGAGGCTTCTGTCCTAAAAAGGCACCGTGGGCCCAGATCTGAAGTATATTTCTTTGTTACGTTAATATTCTGCCTTTTTATTTCCATTCTCAATCTCTGCGACAGGATGATCGTGTGACATAAAAATCCATACAACATGTCAGAATCATCCGATGGAAAATAAATCTTGAATCAGGTTGAAGAGTAGGGTTGCCAACTCCAGGTTGGGAAATTCCTGGAGATTTGGGGGTGGAGCCTGGGGAGGGTGGGGTTTGGGAAGGGGAGGGGCATTGGCAGTATATACTGCCACACAGCCCTCTGTACAAAGCAGGGAAACTGATATCTGAAGCCTGGAGATTGGTTGTTATTCCAGGAGATCTTCAGGCCCCACCTGGAGGATGGCAACCCTATCAGGGAGAAACTTTGCAATTGCTACTTGCCAGGCTCTGTCCTGGCATCTGACTGGTTGGCACACATCTGACTGGTTGGCACAGAGGGCTGGGCTAACCAAAGTGGAGTTCTAAAGGAGAAATACCGGACA